AACTTGTTTGTGTGATTATGCGGGGTCCCAGGGGGCCTCGGGTGTGTTTCGGACAAGGTTCAGATGTTTTGCATAGTTCTAAACAGGTCTGGTTCTGGTGTTTTCGCACCTGCGACCTTGGAGCGCAGGTGCGGCTCCGCTTCTGCGTGATCCCGGCTGCTTCTGCGGTCATGCAGACCTGGGTAATTTCTTACTTCTGCGGCTCCACTTTTCGCTCCTGCGGTGCCGTTGGTGCGGTTAATTTTTGCAGATGCGGTCCCAGGCCAAGTAGCCAAAGTTCGCAGATGCGGACTCCCTCTTGCAAATGCAGCCCCGCAGATGCGGTTTCTTGACCGCAGATGCGGAAGTCCTGGTAGAATCCTTTTATATCGAGGATTAGCCATTTTGTTCATATTTTGAGTTTTAAACTTCGAATTTGGGAGCTTCTTTTGGGGTTTTCAAGCAAATCGATTGGGTAAGTGTTCTTCACTTAGAATCTAACATATTCCATGATTTTATCTTCATTTTTATCATTTAAATTGTGTTTTGGGTTGGGGAAGGAGTTGGTTTTTGAAGAAAATTTCTAAAATGAAAAATCGTGATTTGAGGGACCAAATGGTATCGGAATTTGATAAATTTTGTATGGTTGAACTCGTATCGGAATGGGCATTCGATTTTTGTAAAATTTGTTGGGTTCCAAGGTGCGGGCCCGGGGCTCAACTTTTGGACCGATTTTTGGATTTTGTTAAAGATTGAGACTTTATGATCCGGAATAGTTTCTTATGTGTTTTATTTGTACTTTGAAGTTAATTTGGTTAGATTTGAGCCGCCCGGAGATCTTTCACCCGAGAAGTGCATTTTAGAGTATCGCTGTGTTGTCTTTGAGGTAAGTATCTTGCCTAACCTTGTGTGGGATACTTCCCCTTAGGATTTGAGTCTTCTATGTTGATTGTAGTTCGTGTACGCGAGGAAAGGAGTGCGTGCTCGGACTTATCTGTGAAAAATTGGTCTTAAGAGTTCTTAGGTCCTTATATTCACTATGTATGAATGTGTTCTTGACATGACTGAGTTTCCTATTTACTAGTTTCACATCTACATGCTTAATTGGAAATAATTACTTCATGATACACTCTTATTGCTTAACTGACTCCTATTTGATTTAATTGATGAATTTCGCCTCTCCTATTGTCATGCTATCTTTTCATAGTTGTTTGTCTTATTTGAGAATCATTATTATCCTTTCTGAAATTTTGCTTAGTCTTAAGTGAAGCTAAAGGTCATCTTTCCTTAATTGAATTGTTGAATATCCTCGAAAATTGTCCAACCTTAAAAGGAGTTAGATAACCTATATCTTTGATGACTTTCCCTTATTTGGGACTACTTGACTCGCGTTGATTTCCTTGTTATTGACTTGTATATTGTGGGATCGTCGTTATATGTTAGTTTTCCCGTGTTGAACTATTCCCTTTATGCCAGCATTCTTTTCTGTGATTATTCCTCGTGAGCTAGTTCTACTGCTTCCTTGTGATTTACAGTCCTTAAGTTGATTTACTTGTCTTACCTTGTATTATCATTATTGTTGCTATATGTATCGTGGTGATGTACGAGCTTTCTGTTGTATTGTGACTGTTGTTCTGTTGGTTGCGCTGCATATTTACTTTGGGACTACGGGACGATATCCCGGGAGATCCCCCCTGCATGTTTACTTCGGGACTACGGATCGATATTCTGGGAGATCCCCCTGCACGTTTACTTTTGGGACTACGGGACTGCACCCGGGAGATTCCCCTGTACTGGATATTTACTTTGGGACTACGGGAAGATATCTCGGGAGATCCTTTGCACATTTACGTTTGGGACTACGGGACGATATCCTGGGAGATCCCCTGTTAAAAATATTGCGTTCTGAGCTGACGTTTTCATTGATCCTATCCCTGTGTAAATATTATAGGTGTTGTCCGTTCTATTCCTTATACTTACTAGTTTGTACGAACTATGTTAGGACACTTGCACAAGCATACATGTGGTTAATCACCCTTATCGGGTAGGAGGCTCTTTGAGATTTCTGAGTATAGACGTACACCTTTGTTATTTGCCTTCCATGTGAGAATGACTCTTTTGGGGCACGTGAGTTGTCAGTATGATCAGGAGGTGTGATGAGGGCACAGGATGCCAAGTGTTAGGGTTCAGGTATTGAGACCCGTATCATATGATTATGAGATGAGGTGTCACAGGGTGACTATATGCGAAGGTTATCTATTTGAAAAGATTATATTCGAAAAGCATTTATTTTGAAATAACTTTTTAAAAAGAACATTTATTTGAATGAAGTATATTTCGAAACATTTTTATCACTTGAAAGGTTTGACTATTTGATTGACGCTTGCTGGTTAATACTTAAGGTAAAAACTATCGGAGTTGTTGAGTTATGACTTGTCTTTACTGTATTTGTGATTTCGGATTTGGATTGTATTCTCGCTTACCTTTCCGTGTTTTCCTCATGGTGTTCCCCTGAGTACTAGCTGTTTTCTTTCCTTATTTTTAATTACTGTATTGTTAGCCGTATCGCATAGTCTCTATATAAATATCATGTTCTGTATATTAGACCAGTAGGTGTCTTGACTGTTCCTCGTCACTACTCTACCGAGGTTTGTCTTGATACTTACTGGGCACCGCTATGGCGTGCTCATACTACACTTTTGCACATTTATTTTTGTGTAGACCCAGGTATTGTTCGCTAGTAGCTGTGCGGATTCTTGTCGAGGAGACTCAAGGTAGCCCTGCTGCTGCGTTCGCAGGCTTCGGAGTCACCTTCCTATTTTATATTCACACTGTTTTACTTATTTCCATGCGGTTGTGTTTAAAAATTATAGCGAAACTCTGTAGAGCTTATGACTTGTACTACCGGGTTTTGGGAAGATGTTCATTGTATAAAGGATTCATTTCAGAAGAATTTTAGGTGTTATTATTTATTGTTGTTATTCCGTAATTATTAGGATTACCTAGTCCTTAAGACTAGGTGCCATCACGAAACCCAACGGAGGGAAAATTGGGTCGTGACATTCTTGGTAATTGAACAAGATAGAGCGTTGGCTCAAGTTGAGATTTATGTTGTGAAGTGATTGTGGAAATGAGGAGAGGTTTATGATATTGTTTCCCTTGTCGAAAGTTATTGTTTATGATATCATTTCCCTTGCCGGGATATTATTGCTTAAGATAATGTTTCCCTTGCCGGGATATTGTTGTTATACTATTGTTTTCCTTGCCGGAATATTGTTGTTATACTATTGTTCCCTTGCCGAAATTTTTTTGTGATTGGTGTTGATTTGTATATTGGGATCGGGTTGCACGCCGCAACAATGTTATATATGGATCGGGTTGCACGCCGCAACAATATTATATATGGATCGGGTTGCACGCCGCGACAATATTACGTGGGATCGGGTTGCACGCCGCAACAGTATTATATGATTGGGATCGGGTTACACGCCGCAACAAGAAAATATGACAGTGAATATTGATTCTTATGGTGAGGACGAGAGTAAAAGCACGAAGGGTGATGCCGTGCACTAGTTACTATTTTTCCTTATTCTTGCTGATATGAAATTATGGTGTTCTTTATGCTTCTCTACTGAAATTCTGTTAGTACTTGATATCCCCCGCAGCATGTTCCTCCTTCCCATCTTTAACTGCTAGTTTCTGTTGTTATTACTTGCAGTATATGATTTAACTGCACAAGTTTACTTGGTAGTCTTATCCTAGCCTCGTCACTACTTCGCCGAGGTTAGGCTCGACACTTACCAGCACATGGGGTCGGTTGTGCTGATACTACACTCTGCACTGTGTGCAGATCCCGGTGCTGGAGCATTTGGACCATAGAGAGGTTGCTGCCTTCAGTCCAGCGGAGACCCCAGGTAGTCCTGCAGACGTTCGCAGGCCTTGGCGTCCCTTTCTATCTTTTCCAATCTGTTTTTACTTATTTCAGAGACAGACTTGTATTGTTCTATTCAGACCACTGTTTGTAGTATTCGTAGATGGTCCGTGACGTTGTGACACCAAATTCTGGGTAGAGTTGTACTTTGATTTGTACTAGTATTTAGTTATGTTATCAGAATTCCGTCTTCCGCATTTCTTTTATTATTATTATTATTATTATTATTATTATTATTATTATTATTATTATTATTATTGTTATTCCGCTGTTGATCGCCTGTTAATTGAAATTGTTAAAAAGGTTAGGGAAAAAGGTAATAAAATCTGTAACATTCGGCTTGCCTAGCTTTCACGAGTAGGCGCCATCACGACTCACGAAGGTGGGAAATCCGGATCGTGACACCATTCGGGTCAGTTGTGATAATTATAAAAGTTTGGATTTTTTGTAAACCTAGTTATAAATATTAAACACTAACAATGAAAGTATCTTTTTATACCAATCTTAACACTTTTGTCTTATAAATTGCTTTAAGTGTTCAAAAGTCCAATAAATTTAATTTCCCCAAATAAGTTTTACTATAACTATGGTGCAACATTTAATGAAGGATAGTTTAGTCACACTAATTATTTTTGTCTAGAATTTAATATTTTCTTAATGGGTGTACCCAAAACAAATTAGTCACTTATTGTTGACCGGAGAAAGTATAGTCTTAAGAATTCACAGAAGTGTGGGTTTAGGCACTGAACGCTGTAATATTGTCTTGGATTCCCGTATTAACTAAAGTCTAAACAGTTCAAATGTTCTTCATTTCTAATTATTAATTTTTTTTCTTCTATTGATCCACTTTTAAACATTATAGAAAGAGTAAACAAATACATTACTTTATTAAATCCTTTCCATATATGTTTCGGGGTGGAAGTATTGTTTCCCTTTTTGGATTTTGTATTTCATTACAAAAAGAAAAAGAAATAAAATAAAATAAGATATCTTCTAACGGCTCAGATTTCGATACACTGATGACTAAACAGGCCACGTTAGCAAACATCGTTCCTTCCGTCAGCTCCTAACTTCCTATCCAGTCATCACGCTATCTTCAAGATGAACAAATACTCATTTCCCTCCTCTCCTCCACTCCCACTACTTCCTCTTCTCCAAATCTTCCAATTTCATGGACTCAATCTTCTCTCCAAAACCTCACACGCTTTCTTTAATTTCTTGCTCTCCAATCTCCTCTTCTCTTATTCCTCGCCGCCGCCAATGCCTCTTCGGTTCTAGCCATAATAATTTACGGCCCCCTGGTTTTCTTCGCTCGCGGAGGAAATGCCGAAATATCGGCTTTCAATTCAGCGCTCACTCTTCACGATTTGTCCTCAGAGCTTCTCTTGATTCGCAATCGGTTGTGGTTGTTGCTGCCGTTGTCACTATCTCTGCTCTTACAATCATCTTTTTTGAATTTTCCAAACGAAATGCCAATATCAAGGAGGTAAGCTCCGTGATTACTCGGTTTATAACATTACTGGTTCAGTTCTTAAAATTTGTTTTGGTTATTTTTCCAAAAGAGATGCCAATTTCGCGGAGGTAACCCTCCTAATTACGATGTGTATGTGTCTGAGCCTGAATACCTGTCTTAGCGTGTCTATTGTAGTACGCGAATGTGCTTTATTTAGTGAATTAGTGTAAATGCTCATATCTAAATGCTATTGTAGTTGTTTAATGTAGATTACCGTTGGTTCGATACATGCTCCTTGAATATGCTCCAAAGCTAACTCTTTGCTTCTTCAATTAGTAATTTGGAGTAGTATATTAGAAATGTGAGGCAATATAATACGCTAGTTGTTAAAGTTTAGTTTGATAGAGATATTTGTACAAATTTTTTACATATGGATAGTTACAAAAGTTGATGAGAATTACATAAAAATAATACTCCCTCTGTTACAATTAAAGTGACTTACTTTCCTTTTTACTATGTTTCATAAAGAATGCCTCTTTCTAGTAACTCTCTAATAACAATCTACATAGGTTGTTTAAGACCACAAGATTCAAAGGGCAATTTGGTACATTACACACTTCATTAATTTAAGATCACAAGATTTAAAAGTCCTTCTTAATTTCTTAAACTTTGTGCCTAGTCAAACTAAGACTCTTACATAGAAACGGAGGGAGTATTATTAGTAGACATCCTAAAATATAAGGTGGAACATGAACATACTCCAGTGTAGATGTTTATAACTAAATGATATTATTCACACAGTTTAATGTAGATTATTATTAATTCACCATATGCTGCTAGAATATTATCCAAAGCAAACTCTTCACTTATCTTCCAGAATTAGGAAAGAAAAGAGATAAAGGTTGATACTTGTATGTATGACAGACTCATGCAGATTGTGATGTGTGGTTAATTTTCCTGGAAGAAACTAATTAAATAAAACAGTTGGACATGGAAAAAAGTCGGTAAATGTAGCAGGGCTACCAAAGGTTGGAAATGCTTTGGTTTTGCAGGATCAGTTCTGATACAACAATAACAAACCCAGTTAATTCCCACCAGTGGGGTCCGGAGAGGATAGGATGTATGCAGCCTTACCCTTTTGACCATTTTTTAAAAATCTTTTTCTAGTTTTGAGTTGCTTCATTTATCAGTCTAATAAACTCCCATATGATACTTGAATGACATTTTAAAAGTCGTAGAAGTTAGTACGTTGTGTATGAGAGACCAAAACTAGGCAGAACACAACCTCTAGAACAACGTTTCTTTCAACAGACAAGTGTTTGCTCTTAGTAGTCATCTTGGAAAAGTTGGGGGTCTACCATCTCAACTCCTAGTTTCTGAATAAATTTATGGAAATTAAAAATATTATATCTGAAGTTTTCTGGTCATTGGCATCTAATAAGTAAGATAAAATTTTCGGTCATTAGTACTTACAGCAAGACTAATTTGTTCTTATGACATTAACAAGAGGTGTTACTTTACCATAGTTAATTGAGGAGGAGACATATTTCTGATGTCCACAATTTTTCATAGATTTCAGCTGAGCTTACTCTTGCTTTGCGGCGACAAATAAGACATGTGATGAACTGGTTTCCACGTCATGTATTTGCTCTTATAAACATACAGGAGGAGAAATCTGTCGAAACTCCGATGAAGGAAGTATCCAAAGTCAGCAATGAGCTTGAGGATGCGGGGACAGATGTGCAACTAGGTGGAACCTATTTGATGCAAACCGTCATTACCAACAAAATTGAGTCTGCAGATGCTAATCAGATGGCTTCTAGTTCCGGTGGATCTTTGACCTTAGGAGCACCTGGATCTAACACACACACTGAATCAGATGTAGTACCATCATCTTTTGTGGCAGAGTCGCACAACAATTATCTGCAGGAACATCTACAGGGAACTAAAACGAGTAACAGATTGACTACGGAGGAAGTCAGTTCAGAGCATAGTGTTGGTTTGTTTCCTGCAATCAACATAGATAAAGGAATTGAAGAAACCAAGAAAACAGACCATGCACTCACGGAGGACGGCGGACGTAAGGTAGCCCATAAACATGTTGCAGAGGATGAAGTCAGTATCCATAATCTTATTTTCAGGGATTCTGCGCGCAAAGAGTTGTACTCGTTCTTTGAGGCATCTACCAAAAATCTAAATGGTCAAAAAGCATTGACTTCTCATGCTTCCAGTGAACGCATTAGCGTCTTTTCACACACTTCAAAAGTTTCTTCAATACAAGCAGGTAAGGCATCTCTTCAGATTCTCGTGATACAGCAGGGTGTTCAATGGAAATGCTGCAACCTCTTCATTCCATTTTATCTTTTTTTTTTTGTACACTGCCCTTGAGAATTCTTTTTTCTTGGTTTGTTTGCTCTTTCCTCCCTGTCCCTCTGTATGGATTTTTGACGAGATTTAATTATTTTCCAGAGGATTTTAAGGAGAAAAGGCCTCATGGATGTTATAAAGAAGGACCATTCGATAGCAAGGACTTTGGGAAAAGAAAGCATCATTTCACTACGAAGGAAAAGAGCATTCTACTGGACAATGGTACCACAAAGCAGTTTCAGATTCCTAATCCAAAGGGGATCCAAGTGTGTGATGGACCTCAACCATCCGACCAATTCAGAGCTTATCGCCGTTTCTTGAGAGAGGGCAGGTAACCTATTGTTTGACCGGTTGATTTCATTATTTGGACTGGTCGTAGGCCATCAATAATATTCCATGAAAAGATTAGCACATAATAAATGATACTCCCACCGTTTCAATTTAAATGATACACGTTCCTTATTAGTCCGTTCCAAAAAGAATGGCACATTTCTATATTTGGAAACAATTTAACTTTAAAATTTTATATTACCAACTTTACCCTTAATCAGAAGCTTTTATGGCCACACAAATGTCATGGCCCCACATAGCTTTTGCCCCTTAAGCTTTTAGGACATCTTTTTTTTTTCTTAAACTTTGTACCAAGTCAAACTACAACATCTAAATTGAAATGGAGGGAGTATTTCTGATGTACTTATAATAAAAATGACACTTCTAATGTCCAAATATTATCCTGTCTGTTGCTCTTGTTTATGCCATTCAAGCTCACACACAAGAATTCCTGCTGCAGGTTGATGGACTGCATAGAAATGCTTGACAATATGGAAAGGCACGGTTCATTGAATATGGATAAAGTAAACTGCTGCTTATATTCACTTCATATTCTATTTATGAACTTTGGTTTGTTGGTAATTTGTTAAAGATCCCATTACAGGTGTATCATGCTGGTTTCTTCCAAGCCTGTAAAAGCCAAAAGGCAGTGAAGGAAGCTTTCCGTTTCACCAAGCTTATCCAAAATCCAACTCTAAGCACATTCAATATGCTCTTGTCTGTATGTGCAAGCTCACGGGATTTGGAGGGTAAGTTTTCTCTCTTGGTACTTATTCCTGTTTCTTTTTGTGTAAGGTTCTTTGACGCGGATAGAGGGACAAAGTGCAAGGGGATGTTATCTTTTTCCTTAGACTTTGGAAATCGAACTTCAATAATTTCTTCGGAAAATACAACCATTTGTCTTTATCCCATCGTAATTATGGTCAAGTTATTTTGTTTGCTTAGGTGCTTTTCGAGTGCTTCAACTTGTCCGTGAGACTGGACTGAAACCTGACTGCAAGCTCTACACTACTCTTATATCAACTTGTGCAAAATCTGGGAAAGTTGATACCATGTTTGAGGTAAGTGCTTCGATTGTGGTTTCTCATGAAAAAATGTTATATTTATAGCTTATCTGTGATTTTCATTCAAGGGTCTTTTTTCTTATTTAATGTTTAAATATCCTGTTTATGTGAGTGAATGTTGGGCCTCTAAGGGCCAAGATATGTGTTGCAAATGTGGATGTTAAGTTGGATGTTCGATTAAACAAGATTTAAACTAGATTATAATGAGAGGAACTCACTTAAAATGACTTGGTTTTGTCCTACGGCGACTTCCAGATGCACGGTTCGTAGGGGTGAAACCATGATGAAGGTGTTAAAAGGGGACACGGTACACACCTAAAATCACATGAGAGGAAGTTCTCTGGAAAGACCTACAATCTCTTGGAATCCATGTGTAGAAAAAAAAAGATGAAAAAGATACATATATGTTCGACGTTCACTAGGAGTCTTATTGACTTTAGAGATTTGTATGTAGAAAAATGTAAAGAACTTTTAGTGTTCTAGAATCCAAATTATTGAATATTAGATCTGGGTATCTATGCTGCGTGGACTCTCCAAAATTTTGCTGCCTATGTCGGATCCTCCAAAAATGCTACCTTTGGAGGGTATGACACACCCCAACGCACCTGACGACATTTTCGGAGAGTTCAAGCAACATAGTATAGGATAGGTCTAAGTGGAGCGACATGTATAGTGAGGGTTTCATACAGCCGATCTTATATAGCTTGGGTTTAAGTCATAACAATATCTGCAACGGGACAACGACGTCAACGAGTACTTTAAAGGGGAGAAACAAATTCACGACATTTCTCATAATTGCTTTTTAGACTGAATGATAGTTGATATGCTGCTCCCATTAGTTGCATCTTGTTTTTTATAGAAGTAAACCTGCATGAATTCTTTGAATCTTATTGCCTATCCTTGCACCTTATATGCAATCTTTCGAGTTGATATTTTCTGAAGTTGTAGGTTTTTCATGAAATGGTCAATGCTGGAGTTGAACCAAATGTTAATACATATGGTGCACTTATTGATGGGTGTGCTAAAGCTGGACAAGTTGCGAAGGCCTTCGGTGCCTATGGTATAATGAGATCTAAGGTATAAATTTATCTACTTAGGGCATACAATTTTAGAGGGTATTGCTTTAACATTTCATTCATATCAGTTTATTATTTACCAAATCATACTGAAAAGTGACATGTACCTAGACCGCCAAATATCTCATGTCGGATTCATGTTGTATTCAGTAGAATGTGAAGCCAGATCGTGTTGTATTCAATGCTCTTATCACAGCTTGTGGTCAATCAGGAGCAGTGGATCGTGCATTTGATGTCTTATCTGAGATGAAAGCAGAAGCACGACCAATAGAACCTGATCAGATTACTATTGGGGCTCTGATGAAAGCATGTGCAAATGCCGGTCAGGTATACGTGCATTCTGTTTTCGCTTAAAAATCTATATCTTGGTTGAATGGGACTGATGTTCCCACATTTCTGCTCTTCTATCATGATTAACCACGGACATATAAATTGCTTTAGGTTGATCGAGCTCTGGATGTTTACCGTATGATTGATAAATATGATATCAAGGGCACAGCAGAGGTTTACACGATTGCTGTAAATTGTTGTAGTCAAAATGGTAACTGGGATTTTGCGCGCAGCATTTATGATGACATGACTAGAAAAGGTGTTTATCCAGATGAGGTAGTAATTTTTAAACTGCTGTGTTTGCATGTCAGTAAACTATTTTACATTTTGATGACTTGAAACTCTTAAATTTTGTTGGCCTATCTCCATAATATTGCTTCTCAACCTTGTTGCAGAAATCAGAGCTTGATGCATCTATCATTACATCATTTTGTCAGCATTAAATCAAAACTTTGCCACTGAGATTTTTTACCGTATATTTTTAAAAACTTAAAGTTTCGTTTATTTGTGCAGATGTTTATCAGTGCGCTGGTAGACGTGGCAGGGCACGCTGGTAAGTTGGATGCTGCATTTGGTGTTCTAGAAGAAGCCAGGACTAAAGGCATAAATGTGGGATCTATGTCATATAGCTCATTGATGGGAGCCTGTAGTAATGTATGAACATTCCTCTTTGTGTTTCTTCATATAGACAAATGTACTATCTCTACTTTCTGCTCTCTCTCATCTCTGAAATAGATGGCTAGAACTTGTCTGTTTACGGTTATCTGCCTCTTCGATTGAGATCTCAATATCAATATTGTGGCTTAAATTTGCAATTAAAGATGGAAATTGATATCAATGAGTACTACCTGCTCTTGGTCTCAAAATTGATGTAGATTTGATCCCAGTGTAGTTGGATATGCTGTAATAGGATGAGAATATCATAAAGCTTACTTGTTCAAAATTATATGCAATACTGTCATCTTTTTTTCCATATCTTGTGGTTAATGAAGCTTCTGTATGGCAAAATGTAGTTTTTCATGGAACAATGTGAGAAGTTTTGAGAAACATACATTATGCAAAAGCGACACTGCCTTCTGTTTTTTCATATATTGTGATCAAGTAGCTTATGTACCAATTGTTTGGGATTTAGTTGCTTAATAGTAAGACATGTTGACTCCTAAATCTCCAAAGAATTTGTCTTATTCACTGTGTGCTACCTTCTTTTATGACAGTGAACAATAGTAATATTTATGCCACTTTTGTAGTTTATTGTGTTTTATAGATGCTTCTAAGAAGTGATCATCAGACACGTAATGAAGGGAGAGATATAGAGGGAGAAATGTGTTACCGGTCACTATTCTACCAAGCAAGCCCTCGAAGTAGTCAACCTGTGTTCTATCTGTATTTCTTTTGCCAATCCTGAAGTAGCTTTTAGGAGAATTTAAAACTGTGAAAAGCATCAAGGAGAAACATCTAGTCATGGGAAGACACTGTAGACAGGGAAATAGTTGGAAGAGATCCATAGTTAACCAATGCACTAATAAACTCTAGTTCCCTTTACTATATTTCCAAGAATAGCAGAAGAAACAATACGTCAAGTGAAATCAGTATCAGGTTGAGGTTAAGAATTCCTTCGAAGATCATATATTTAAACAAGCTGGAATGTATATCATGTTATGTCCCACTTCTCTGTCTAAAATAAAGAAATATCTTACTAGCATTAGTTAGGTGAAATATTTCACTGCCACCAAAATGAACCTGTTTTTGCTGTTATATCTGTCATTTCAACAAACATGGACTTTGATTCTATCAACTAGCAAGTATTAGCCCCAATACCCTTAGATGCTGCTAGTTTTCTTTGTGCATCAGAGGCTCTATTGGTCTTAATGTTTCTTTCAAAATCTTGTGACTTGGTTTAAAACACTTTTCAAATCCATCTGCAGGCAAAGAACTGGCAGAAGGCACTAGAATTGTATGAGGATGTTAAAGGCGTCAAGTTAAAACCAACCGTTTCAATGATGAATGCATTGGTAACTGCATTATGTAAGTCACATTTCTCTTAAAACTTTTTCTCAGCGTAAGAGCATTTCACTGATGCTTGTTTTGGCTCTAAATATCTACACTCTATTGTTTTTCTTTCTCCTGATCAGTTTTTATTTTTATAAGGTTCATAATTCAATACCTATAAGTGGTCTCAGTCCATTGCTAGAGCTAATTTGGATGTTCCTTTCATGAATCAGAATCTAGCTTCAATAATTGCTTTATAAGCTTTCCAGATCATCATCTTATTTTTTGCTATGACACCTAATATGTTTATAACGGAGGACGACTTTACTTTGTAGATGTCTGTGTATGCTGGTTCCCAGTTCTTGTGTATTTGCTTAATTTCCTCAATGAGATGTTTTGTAATAGGTGATGCTGATCAATATCAGAAGGCTCTGGAAATTTTTTCTGAAATGAAGAGAGTGGACCTATGCCCTAACACCATTACATACTCCACTCTGTTAGTGGCAAGTGAAAAGTAATAGCTTGATTCCTTTACAATGAGGTTTATGTATAATGACCACTATCTCCTGTCAATATATCAGTTTTGGTATATCTGAGTTTTATCATTTATTTCTCTTATATCTCATGACAGAAAGGATGACTTGGATATTGGCCTCATGCTTCTTTCTCATGCTAAAAAGGATGGCGTTTCCCCAAACCTTGTTATGTGCAGAGGTCTACTTGGTAAGAATTATAAGCTTGTCAATTGATCGCATAAGCTATATTGTATCTTGACTTGATGTACATTGCTACAACCATAC